CCAAGAACTGAAATGTGAAGAGAAGTATTTCTGCCAAAGAGATCAGCAAGTGCTAAGGCCCTGAGGCAGGAGAGAGGTTGGGTGTTGACAGAGGTAAGAGGAGACTAGCAAATGCAAAGCCCCTGAGGCAGGAGGGAGGTTGGGTGTTGACAGAGGTAAGAGGAGACTAGGAGGTGGCATCAGTGGGTGCTGTGGGTGCTGAACTGTGCTTTTTCATTGCTGTAGCCCCAGAGCTCCACACACAGAGTTGACGAATGCTCGTTGAATGAATGAGAATTCCCATGCCCTGTGCTCTCTTGGCTTCAGTTGACCCATCTGTGAAAGGAACTGAAGATTTTGTATTTCCACCGTCTAGCTCTCTCCTTGGTGGCCTGGTCCATCTGTACTAGGAGTCAGGACCATCCTATGAAGCAGGCCTGGGCTTCCCATGCCCCCTCCTCTCCAGCCTGAAGCCTCAAATTACCTGTGGGGTGGTGCAGTACTGGGGAGCCTTTCCATCTTGCCCAGATGCGAGTGGCAGGCCCAACCCTCCCTTAATGACACCTTGCCCGTCCGCCCGCCCTCTGGGCCAGAGGGGAGGGGGCCCAGCCTGGCCAAGGCTGTGGTTTCTTTTTCCACTGCGTCAGGACTCAGGGTCCGGACAGCCTGCGTCAGCCAGTTAGGCAGAGGGACCCACTCTTCCCCAAGCTTGCCCCAACTCTGGACATCATGTGCTCCCCATTTCGAGTCTCCAGAGCTTTCCAGCCAGATGGTGAGTTGGGGATGGGAGACCTGCCCAGAGCTGGGGGCGGCATTGAGATTACTCCTTTCTCCCACCCTGCTTGAGCAGCTACAGTTGGCTCCAAGGAGCCCAGCCCAGCCCCTTTCTCCTGACCACCCCCTCCGCCAGGATGTGTAGCGAGTGGATGAGACTAGTGCAGTAACTGAGGCTGGGGCCAGGGGGCAGTAATGGGGGTGGGGCCGGCAGAAGTGGTCATGAGCCGATGTGCCTTTGTGTTTTTTCATCTGAGAGTGTGTGTATATATGTGTGCAAGCGTTTGTGTGTGTACATACAACAGGTGTGTTGTTGTGTACATAGAAATAGGTGTGTAAACCTAGGCACATGTACCTGCCACCCCTCAGAATGAGAATGAGCGTATCTGACTTAGTAGCAGAGAGATGCAAGGGCGTGGACCCCATGATCTCAAAGGAAGTGTTGACCTTGGACACTTTGGGGCCTGTCCTGAATACTTGTTAAAGTGGAGTGTGCCCCCCTTAGCCTCAGGCTCCCTGTGGTCTGGCTGACTTTCCAGCTATGTTCTGCCATGCCTGTTGGGTCTCGCCATCTTGCCCAGAGATCAGAGCATCAGCCTGGGAGTCTGAGTCCTGGTTCATGTCCTGTCTCTGCCATTTCCTGGCTGTGTGACTTTGGGCAGGTGACATCCCCTCTCTGTGCCTCAGTTTCCTCATCTGTAAAATGGGATGATTGTTCCTGCCTTATACACCTCTAGGTGAGTGTAAGCATTAAAGAGGCTCTTTCTTAGCCACACAGGAAGAGTTTCCATGGAAGGGAGTGTTCTCTGGGCTGAGGATGTGTTCCCCCTCCCCGGTCTGGCACAGTTGCCCAGTTGTGGGCAGTGAAGCTGAGCCCAGCTCGCCAGTCCCTCTCAATGGAAACTGCCTTTTACGCAAGAGGAACAAATCCTGTGGGCAAATTGCAGTGCTGGCTTCACTGGTTATAATGAGGTACTGGGGAGCAGAGAGAGGGAGGGGGCTACAACTGTCCAGATGCCCTCACTGCCCAGCAGTCTGGAGGCTTTGGGTCGGGAACAAAAGGGGCCACACTCTCAGGCAAGCACCCACCTCCCACAGACTGGCCTACAGCTGTCCAGCAAGAGGCTGGCACTCGAGGCTTGGGCTGCGGCCAGGGTCAACGGGAGGAGGAGCCGGATCTGGGCCTTCCTGTTGCAGCTTCCTACCCCCTCAGTGGCCTCACTGTTGCCTCCCTATCCCCTAACAGTCCCTGCTCCCGAGAGTGAGCTCTGAAAAATGCACATCAGTGATGGAAATTTTTAGGAATTGATGGTTGAACAACATGATGAACATAAGTTAGTGTCATTGAACTGCACATGTGAAGAATGTTGATACAGCAAATGTTTTGTTACATATGAGTAGGAAAATTCCATTCTCTTTCTTCTATTTATTTTTTCAAGAACTTTTTGCAGCCTCCTCACGTACATATACATTCATCCTTTTTGGTTTTTTTTTTAAGGTTAAAAAATGCAAACCAGATCAAGTCACTTCTCTGCTTAAAACCCTCCAAGGCTTCCCATGGGTCTCAAAATAAAACTCAAACTCCCTGTCGGGGCCTTTAAACCTGGCTGCCATCTCTCCTTTCCCACTTCCTTCAGGATGGAGCAGATGTGAGCTCTGAGAGACTGAGATAGTCCCGGACGGCACCATCCCCAGCACTGGCCGTCCTTGGAATCAGTGGGTGTTTAGTGTATTCGTTTCTGGGACTGTTATAACAAATTGCCACAAAGTGGGTGACTTAAAACAATGATTTATTTGCTCACAGTTCTGGAGGTTAAAGGTCTGAAATCTGGATGTTAGCATAACAATGCTTTCTCTGATGGCTCTAATAGAAGATGCTTCCTGGTTTCTGATGGCCCTGGGCATTCCTTGACACCAGTCATATTGCAGTAGGGCCCATCCTAATATGACCTCATGTTAAGTAATTATATCCTCAATGATGCTACATCCAATGAAGGTCACAGGTGCTGAAGATTAGAACTTGAACATAACATTCAGAAAACACTCAGGAGTCAATGACTGAGCCTCAGTTTCCTCCTCTCTACAATGTGGGTCATATTAGAACCTACCCCACAAGGCTGGCACACTCAGCTCATAGTGAATGTTTAGCTAGTGTGCATGGTGACTTGGATCCAGAGAGAACACCCTCCTATTGCCACCCTCTCCCAGGCAATATAGGGTCTGTTACTCACTCAGCTGTGAGGGGATGAAATATTAGTTAAGAAGATGGGACTCAGCCTTTGTGGGCTAAGTGTTTAGGGGGACTTGTCTGCCTCTGTGCCCACATGGCTGACGTGCCCACATGGGGCATCTGTTAAATGCAAATGCTCCGGTGGAAATAACTTCTAAACATAGGGGTCTCAAAGGATTGTGTCATGATGTTTCATGGGCAGATGGGGAAACTGAGGCATGGTGTGCCAGAGGACTTGCTCCCCTCCAGTCCTTGAGATGGGTTCCTCCACAGTTGCTCCAAGAGAGCTGTGTGCACAAGTAGGAAGACTTTGAGCAAGTGAATGAGCAAATGCCAGTAACTCGCCTTGGCAGTTGTTGTTCCATCCTATATCACCTCCATGGGCATTGGCATGCTTGAGTTCACTGTTATGGCCGCTGTGTATTTTGAGTATCTTCCAACCTAGGGCCCTTGGGGGCACTGTGGGTTAGTTGCGCTGCTAACTACCAAGTCAGCAGTTCAAATCCACCAATCACTCCGCAGAAGAAAAATGAGGCTTTCTGCTCCC